GTGTGAATCCAAAACTGGTACCTGTATAATATCAGGTCTCTCCGCACCTGGTAATCTACAGTCGCGCTCTCAATGAAAGATAACTAACGTTCTCCAAACGTAAGCCTACATGATGTTCCATGTACGGTAGGTCATGGAGAGGTCCGTAGGCACACCTAGGATGGCCAGAGGTAGATAAAACACCCAACTGACAGTCTGCTGTAGATATCCTTGTCGAAGTGCCGTACCTGTATAACGTCACAGACACAGCATGAAGCACTCTGTATGAAGTACTAAAGTTGAAGTGTTCGCTGCTGTGATGGTTTGCATGGCCCATGGCCCAGATGAATCCAATCTCATGGGAAACTCGATGGAACCAATAGTAGCACAACTCGATCAATGAACCCAATACCATAACTCTCATCCAATATGGAGCCCCTATAGAAAAAAAGAGATCTCCATCACAGGAAATTTAGACTCGTCAAAGTGCTCACATGCGAGATCAAGGTTGTAAAGAGCGTAGTTGTCGTATAGATAGTCGTATCTGACACTCGAAAGTCTACCACCATTCCATGAAGCGTCTATCCCGACAACACTGTCGAACTGCCTCGCATTTCACCTGACAATTCTTAGCGTAGCACAAGCCTCGTCATCAACTCTAACACGTTATACCACACCTCTTTGAAGTCAAACGAAATGTTCTGTAAGGGACGTACGCTATAGTGTGCATCATTCGAGGGCAAAGATGGACACACATAATGATTGCACTTCCTCTAGGGTATTAGCCTACACGTAAACTCTGAAAGGGAACCTCTCATAAATCATGATGCTCAAAAGGACGTCCATTGCCCCAGCTGCTACGGAGGACCAGGAATCAGCAGCCTCGTAGTAACTGAGATCTGGATATAGGACCCTCCGTGCGTCAAACACATACCCCGATTCTGGTATCCAATCTTCCTCGTTCGTGGACGTAAAACGCCTCCTGTGGAACGACAATACTATGAACTCGACGGCGATGAGGATGAGGAACAATGGAATGGATCCTTCGATGTAATTGTAGTATACCAACTCTCCTACCATAAAGCCATATGCAATTCATCGGGCAGCACATGGGGGCCTCACCGGTGCTCAGCGAAATGACTTTTCTTGGGACGAGATACTCAGAGAAAGCCAAGGCGATCAATACAGCGCCAACACAGACACTAGCTTCCCACCTAGGAAGGCGCTGAATGAACTTGTTGTCATTCACCATTATAAACCACTAACTTTACAAATCACATGCATATCGTCATAACAGAAAGTATCTTCACAGTCGACCTTCGTTATTACTGTGCCGTATCTCAACACTAAGCCCGAGATCGAGCCGTAACCAACGGCTCGTATGATGATTCTCAGGTCGAAAGGTGAAGTCTACACCACCCACACAAATTCCCCCATCCTAATTAACACTTGAGTCACCGAGACACCTCAGCAGCCCGACCGAGTCATCACTATCGTTGTGGGGAGCAAACTACCCAGGCGACCCTCCTATTAAGGAGAGATGCCTCATCTCTAGACAACGCGCTTGACAGCATGTTCAACATAGAGACCAAGACATTCGGTATATAAGAATACCGTAGCCCAGGGATTAAGTGCTCAGATGCTCCAGGCATGGTCGGACAGGTAACACATAGTCCTACCACTCTGGATAGCATCTTCAGTTCGCTTCCTTCGCAGGCATTACCCTGTTCAGGTTCCGACGGTGATATCTCAGCCGAGAACCTCCAATGAGGTTGGTCTCAGCACCCGTGCGAACTCTAGAGTATAAGACATTATACAATGATATAATTCATATCGAGTTTAGGGTCGATAATATCAATTGAATGAGTACAGGAAAAGAGCATCATTTTGAACTCATTTGGCGATTTCAACATCGCAAGCAGTAGCATGTCTCTTGGACCAGAAATATAATACTGTAGCCAGGATCATAAAAACCGCCTGGAAAGAAAGTTGAAAGATCCACAGTATCTTATAGACAGTGCGAAGATCGATTTGAAACCAAGTAAACATGATGAGGGAAAGGATAGTTGACAGGATGTATGCAGTAAGATTGTTGAACATGACTATGATAGCATAACAGCCAGAGTTGACATTACCTTCCTCTTTCATATGCTTGTTAACGACACGACCCGTCTCCGCGCTGACGAAGGCGTTGATGAAATGATAACCAAGGTAGTATAGGATGAAACCAATACACATCGGGAGGATACGAGGATACCAAACCATCAGCGTTAGGGCCAGGATACACCAGAGGCCCAGACTGCCCACAGTAACGTGTTGATGGTGATATGCAACCTTCAGTATTCGAGGCACTGCTACAGACAAGGCACTAATGGTAGCAATAAGTTGCGCAATAGCATACACTGTTCCATTATAGTTTTCCTCGGTACCCTCTTCCACCATCATCATATCGTACAGTGAAGCTTCATAACCATCGATAAGACCGTAGGCGCAATTGCCGAATATCCACCAGAACAGAATAAGAACATAAACCTTATCCTCATAAGCCCACTTCATAGCCTTCCACACCTCCTTAGGCCTAGGAGCTTTGTCGCGCTTGACACCCGTGAGGAAAAGCGCTATGATAGCCGCAACAATAACCGAAGCAGCCGAAACCCACATGAGAGAGGTTTGACTCATGTGACAAGCATTGATCATAACATCACCTACTATACCAGATATCATATGGGAAAAGACATGAGACGCCAGGTTCATCGACGTTAGTTTCTGATAATTCTCCTTGGGCACAACATGGAAGAGATAGCCATAGAAGATTTCCTCGGCCGCGGTACCAAAGGCGTATGTACATTGCATAATCTGCATGTCAAGCAAACTATTACCAAACAGCAACAGAAATCTGGTAGCTAAACGACCCATTGCTCCAAGAATGAGTGCCAGTTTGTAGCCAACAAACTCAGATAGGCAACCACCGACTAAAAGAAAGGGGATGCATGCGTAAGTGGACCAAGGGTAAATCTGAGAGTTGATCTGATCATCTGTAAAACCTTTGACCTCCCTGAGATAGGTCGTCAAGTGGGGCTCGGATGGTATAAATGCCAAGAAGGTAGTGAAGCTACAACATAGCGCAGCCTCGTACCAGAATGGCTTGTAACCATCCGGACCTGTTTTGACCTCCCAATCACCATGCCATAGACGTGCCCAAATTGTCTTCTCGGTCTCCTTGTCTTCGAGACACTTTGGAGGGAAATTAGTGCCGTCTTCTACATCTAGTCTCTGTTCTATGATAGGTTCTTCTAGACTCCCGGACGTTCCATTGAGCGAGGAAGACGCGCTGCTTGAAGTGTGACGAGATTTCATACTCTTACCAAACAAACAACAGTGACTAACGGAAAAAACTCCTCGTAATTCACTTCTCCACCAAACCCAGCGCGACAGTCCGACAACGCTATGCCGAGATACGCGTCACAAGTCCTGTCCCCGCATTTCGGTTCACATGGGAGGCGAATCCTTTTTGCTGTCTAGTTTTGTGCATTGAGACCAGCCTTTTATGAACAGCCTATAGCTCTGAGCAGGTTATCCCGGTGTATCAAGCATAATGTGTATGTGGTCCTAGAGGGTGAAAATCCCCGAATGTCATTCCCGTTAGACGTATAAAGATGCAGTTCGCATCTGATCACCAAATAGATTCATCGAATGGCGCGATTCAGACTGCATTTCCCTTGAAGGTTATCTTGACACATTGCAGAGCCCTGTGTCGCTCTGAGCAAGATGGATTCCGTCGGGCGGGGCAACTATGCCATTCCAAGATTTGCCTGACCAACTGGGCGGGGCAACTATGCCATCCTAAGACATGTCTCAATAACCTTGCGGGGCAACTATGCCATCCTAAGATATGCTTGACCAACTGGTCGGGGCAACTATGACATCCTAAGACATGTCTCAATAACCTTGCGGGGCAACTATGCCATCCTATGCCTGACCAACTGGGCGGGCCAACTATGCCATCCTAAGACATGTCTCAGTAACCTTGCGGGGCAACTATGCCATCCTAAGACATGTCTTAGTAACCTTGCGGGGCACCTATGCCATCCTAAGACATGCCTTAGTAACCTTGCGGGGCATCTATGCCATCCTAAGACATGGCTTACTAGCTGGCAAGAGCAACTATACCGCCGTAAGGTGTGCCTCAGTAAAGCCGATATCGCAAGCACACGAAGTGGCATGCAAAACTTGACCCGCATTGATATTAGGCAGGTTGTCCAGGTAAAGCCTATTTCGAAAGCCTACTAGAAACGTATGGAAAACTCTTGTTAAAAGTGATGCAAAAAGGGCGGCTCGTTTCAAAGCCGTTGGCTACCTATACAAGAACTTTCTAACCCTCAAGAGCCTCTCATAAAAACCGAAGTTGGAAGACAAATCAAAAATGCCGCGCTGAGAATCGAGCGTGCCTGAAAAACGTTTCGGAGGCGTCACAAAGGGAGAATACCCCGAAGTGCAACTCAACTCATTCCAAATATCCGACACGAGCTGGATTTTTAGAAACTACGCTAATCCGTGATCGGAGCGAGTTGTGTGGCGATTCAGGATTTTCGCTTCCAAAAATTTTGAGTCTCCTATTGAGAAACTTTTGAAACATGCCCTTGATGCCGAACGCTAATGTCTCGCACATCGGATGCCCAAGTACTTAACCGCCCCCCCCCCCCTGATTAACACTGGGTAGCTGAGATGCTGCAACGTCTCGACCGAGTTATCACAAGCGTCGAATTAGAGCAGACAACCGAAGCTCCTCTCATCCAGAGGGCCCACCTCTAGCCACCGCATTCCGAGGAAACGGCTAACATAGAGACCGAGGCACACGGTATACTAATAGAATACCGTAGCTAAGGCATGAAATGCTCACTGAGCACTGCTCAGATGCTCCGGATGTGGTCGGACATACAGAATACGCAGTTCCCCAACACCGGTTAGCATCTTTAGTTCGCTCCCTTCGCAGGTATTACCCTGATCAGGTTCCGACGGTGATATCTCAGCCGAGATCCTCGAATGAGGTTGGTCTCAGCACCCGTGCGAACTTAGTTCTTGTGGTGATAGACAGAAAAGATTATACAATACTCAATGTTGTAGAATAAGTCGTATGTATTATGTAGAGAATACAAACTCTGGGGGCCTCACTACTTGTTGCCTTTCACATCACCGGGTGTAGAAGGTCTCTTGGAAAGGAAAAATAGCAGTACGGCCAGACTCATGAACACTGTCTGGAAGGACAGCTGAAAAGTCCACAGTATCTTATAGACAGTGCGAAGATCGATTTGGAACCAAGTAAACATGATGAGGGAAAGGATAGTTGACAGGATGTATGCAGTAAGATTGTTGAACATGACTATGATAGCATAACAGCCAGAGTTGACATTATCTTCCTCTTTCATATGCTTGTTAACGACACGACCCGTCTCCGCGCTGACGAAGGCGTTGATAAAATGATAACCAAGGTAGTATAGGATGAAACCAATACACATCGGGAGGATACGAGGATACCAAACCATCAGTGTTAGGGCCAGAATACACCAGAGGCCTAGACTGCCCACAGTCAGATGCTGGTGAGTGTATGCAATTTTGAATATCCAAGGCACCGCTACAGACAAGGCACTAATGGTAGCAATAAGCTGCGCAATAGCATACACTGTTCCGTTATAGTTCTCCTCGGTACCCTCTTCCACCATCATCATATCGTAAAGGGACATTTCATAGCCGTCGATAAGACCGTAGGCGCAATTGCCGAATATCCACCAGAACAGAATAAGAACATAAACCTTATCCTCATAAGCCCACTTCATAGTCTTCCACACTTCCTTAGGCCTAGGAGCCTTGTCGCGGTTGACACTTGTTAGAAAGAAAGTAGTTACAGTAGCAACGAGAACAGAGACGGCTGAGAACCACTGAAGGGATGTGTAGCTCATGTGCCCAGCATTGAGCATGACATCACCTATTATCCCAGACAACATATGCGATAGAACGTATGCAGCCAGATTTATGGATGTCAGTTTCTGATACTTCTCACTAGGAACGATGTGGAATAGATAACCATAGAAGATCTTCTCAGCCGCAGTACCAAAAGCGTATGTACACTGCATAATTTGCATTTCGAATACAGTGGTACCAAACAGCAAGAGTATTCTCGTGGTTAAACGCCCCATCGCTCCCAGAATGAGCATAAACTTGTAGCCGATGAACTCGGAAAGGAGTCCACCAATCAACAGGAAGGGTATGCATGCGTAAGTGGACCAAGGGTAAATCTGTGAGTTGATCTGATCATCTGTAAAGCCCTTGGTCTCCCTGAGGTAGGTCGTCAGGTGGGGCTCTGACGGCTTGAACGCCAGGAAAAAAGTAAATGTACAACACAGAGTGGCCTCATACCAAAAAGGCTTGTATCCATCTGGACCGACAGGGACCTTCCAACCGCCTTGCCACAAGCGACTCCACCAAGTCCTGTTTTCCCCTTTATTCTCGAGAGGCTTCAAACTAGAGCTGCCACCGTCCTCCACATCCGAAGGTTCACCTATGATGGGCTGCTCCAAGGTATCAAGCTTGCCGGTATTAGCCGAAGACACGTTACTCGAAGCGCGACGAGCTCTCATACTCAAAAGGAATCAAACAAGTTGACTGCAAGGGCTATGACGTTCGGATTCTGCACAATCCCTGTCCCTGGGTCACCTTGTGGTAGAACACAGAGAAGAGACAATTCGCACATTGGTCATCCCTGCAATCAGCAAAACATTGGCAATCGACTGTCTGCTTAACTACTCCGCTCATGATGCTGCCTTTTACTGGGACAGATTCGAGTGTAGCATCAACCGTCCTAAGATAGCAGTGCCTGCGCCGCAACATACCTGGAATGCCTAACGAAAGAATGGTAATTCTAAAAGATAACGGTTGAGAATATATGTAACGATAACCAACAAGCATCTCCTGGTTGATATACTGCAACAAATTGCTGATATCCAAGATTTGTCAGAAGAATTCCGTCGGAATGTATCGGACTGTGATGAACGTGGCGACTATACCATGTGCAGCACAATGTAAAGAGCAAGTTTCAATCGGCCCCTCAGAGTGGAATCCTAAGTCATTGTATGACGCGCTGCTTAATAGGACACTCGTGGTGGATGGACCCGTGTGGAAGGCATCTGCGGAAGAAAGCTTGACAGCCAGATCCGTTGGCAAAACCGCCTATACCCCTCCTGTCACCCTTTTGTGCACGCGTGCAGAGCGGTGTACGCGTCACACTTGAATATACATCGTCTCGACGCACAATGACGGGTTATGAATCATGCGATTCACAATGCAAGACTATAGGGATGGACATCCATGATGGAGGGAGAGATGGTTTGAGACCCCAAATGACTAGGCTTTTGATAACATGTTCGGAGTCGGGCAAGATTAGCTCGATGAGAATGACATCATCCATAACGATTGCCGGAGTGTCAAAATGAAGCGATCTTACGCCTGCATCGGCTTCAGTTGATAATTTTTCTGCCAGTTCTAGCTTTCCATCAGTTGTGGCAAATGCCCGATACCATTGAACAGCTTGACGACTCTAATATGACTCAGAAGAACATTCAGAGGCTCGAGGATGACCGTGACGCTTTGTTGAAGAAGCGTTTCTGGTGGGAGGCCTTGAAGTGCTGCTCCTTCACATTTTTACTCACTTTCAAGCCCTCCGAGCCCCACATCTCAACTTACCTCCGCGAAGTTAAGCATTTCACTGACGTTGACATCTACACACAGATCTACCCTTGGTGGACTTATTCCACTCTGGTATTGGTATTCGTCTCCGCGTTTTTGGCTGAATTCGTCGGCTACAAGCTCTCACTGATTCTTGGCGCGTGTGGAAGGGTGGCGACCAGGTTTTTATTACTGTTTGGGACGGAACTCTGGCACATGCAGATGATGCAGGTATTTTACGCTTTGGGAACAACGGCAGAAATCGTGTTCTATGCTTACATATTCCACATAGTCACGCGTGACGATTACCAGAAAC